GTAGGAAAATAGGTTGGTTTGGCATGATTAGTTCTTGACAAATCCATGCAGGATATTACTTGTAACCCTATTATCCTCTAAGTGCTTAAAAATTGATTGTTTAATCATCTGTTCCAGTATCTCTCCAGGTATAGAAGTTCGACTGCCTGCTCTATAATACCCTGGGTCTTCTTTGTCCCCCTTTTTAAAGATAGGTAGGTACTATGTCTGCCCTTCTCCGGTCCTCTGGGACCTCAGCTGTACCTTTGAGAACTCATATAGAAGAATCACTAATGGTTCTGAGATTGTTTCAGCTAATTCCATATGTACCCTCAGATGCATTTCCCCAGGTGCTGCTACCTTGAATATATCTAGCTCATCTGAATATTTAACCTGTTCATTCCCTATTTCAGCTTGTGTTCCTTCCCCCTTGTGGTTAATATGAATTGTGCTAAGAATCTGGTCACCCTTAACCCTTTTAGTGAAGGCTGAAGCAAAACTGGCATCAAACACCTCAGCTTTCTTGATATCATCAGTTATTCATTCTCCTTCCCTGCTAAGTAGAGGCCCTTCACTTGCCTTCATCTCTCTCTTGCTCCTAATTTATGTAGGGAACCTCTTCTCGTTGCTTATTATGTCCCTTGCTGGGTGTAACTCGTTTTGTGCCTTAGCCCTTTTTTGTCTCTATGCTGGTGGTATTTGTTTGTACTCAGCCTTAGCCATTTGTCCATGTTTCCATTTTTTGTAGGATTCCTTTTTGATTTTCAGGTCATTGAAGTGCTCCTGGTTAAACCATATTGGCCTGTTGTTATTCTTCCTATACTTCCTCTGCATCAGGGTAGTTTGCTGTTGTGTCTTTAATAGCTTCTTTGCCAGCTCTCCTGAACTCTTATCCCTTAGATTTTCTTCCCATGGGACCTTACCTACCAGTTCTCCGCGTTCGTTAAAGTTTCCTTTTTTGAAGTCCACTGTCCTTATTCTGCTGCTCTGACTCCATCCTTTCCTTGGACTAAAGAAATCTACCATTTCATGATCACTTTCCCCCCCAAACTTCAGATCTGCAAGCAATTCCTTGCTGTTAGTCAGACTCCAGTCTAAACTGGCTGTCCCACTGGCTACTTTCTCCACCTTCTCAAACAAAAAGTTGTCCCCAGGACATTCCACAAACAGATTTATTTGGGCATAAGCTTTCGTGGGTAAAAAACCTCACTTCTTCAAATGCATTGGTATAATAAATAATAATAATAAGTGGAGATATCCCATCTCCTAGAACTGGAAGGGACCTTGAAAGGTCATCAAGTCCAGCCCCCTGCCTTCACTAGCAGGACCAAGTACTGATTTTGCCCCAAATCCCCAAGTGGCCCCCTCAAGGATTGAACTCACAACCCTGGGTTTAACAGGCCAATGCTCAAACCACTGAGCTATCCCTCCCTGCAAGTCTGTTGTTTTTGTAGATACAGACTAACACGACTACCCCCTGATACTTGACACAAACTTCTTGGGAATTTTGTGTTTTGCCGTATTACTTTAACTACCCAGATGGCTGCTGGAAAAGTTGCCATTACTACAAGGTCTCGTGTTTCAGATATTGCTGTTGCTAAAGGAGCAACCTTTAGCGTTTTATTTTGAATCCTGATTCAGTGTCCTGACGTCATTAGCTTGTTCCACCCTGTTACTGGAAGAGAGGAGCTGGTGTGTCCCCTGCACGCTCTGCTCCATGGTGGATCTCTGGGCCCACGTATGCCAAAATTGGAAGTGACGCAGTGCCCGCTGACTCCAATCGGAGTTGTGCCCACTTACATCAGGGCAGATCTGGCCCTGTATTTTGAAGTCAGTTCTGATAAGAGTGAATTACTAATACACGGCTGCTGAAAATTAGGTGAGTTTATCATCCTAGTCCGCTTCCACAACCTACAGACGCCGTCGTGTGTTGGAACAGATCTGAACCTGACTCCATCCTGCAGCATCTGACATTACTCAGGGCACAAAAGGCTCTGCCATCCCTGTCTATCCTGGGCCAACCCTTGCATGTCCTCTATGTTGTTAAGCCCCACGAGTGTTCCCTCTCTGGGTACGTCTGCAATAAAAAAAACCCCACAGCACTGAGTCTCAGCGCCTGGGTCAGCTGACTTGGGCACGGGCTGCAGGGCTAAAAATGACAGTGTCACATTCAAGCTTGGTCTAAACCCGCTCCCCTCGCAGGGTCTCAGAGGCCGGACGTCTATACTGCAACTTTGAGCCCCACAACCCGAGCCCAAGTCAGCTGACCTGGGCCGGCTGCAGCTGTGCCCTTTATTGCAGTGTAGACGGACTCTCTGAGCACTGGTCGACAGAGGGGTTCTTTCATGGCCCCTTTTACACGTTCCTCCTCCAGCCGCTTAATGGCAAGCCTGCAACAGCAGACACTCGGTCTTCGCTCTTACCACACGTCCCCAATATTTCCACCTCCTTTTCTGGATAACTTTGGAGATCAGCAGTTGTAAATCCAGTCCACTTAACATCCAGCCTTTTCCCGAGGCAGTTGCTTTCAAAGGCATTTGTGGATTTCCACCTTTTCCAGCGTGTTAAGGTAGACATAACTTTTGGGTTACAGTTTCACAGCCTGGTCTTTAAACTGGAGATTGTAGAAAAGACGAACCTGGTTAGGCTGACCCAGGGTATCCCCAGTAGGGACAAAGTTACTGCCAAATTTGTGCCAAACAGGCATTTTCTGGTCTAGTTTCTCCCCCTTTCTGCTCCCCCACATCCCACCCCATTTTGGCAGGCTTCTCACTCAGGCTAACAGCAATGTATTTATTTTCTGGGACCACTGTGATATCTTTTGACACTGAAATGGAGTCTCCATCATAGGAGGCCCTCATATCCACGTTCCACCACAAATCACTCATGAAGTCAGCTTTATAAACAGAGGATAGCACCTAGAGGTACTGTCCAGCCTCCCAAAGGCTTTGTTTCCAAAGGATGCGGCACAAGACCCACATCTGTGTGTAGGATGCCAGCAAGCTAATGGTATAATAACTAGCAACAGACAGCTCTTTATGGAGCTCTACAATAAAGCAGAGAGGTTTGGTCTGTGGGGTTTAGGATGAAGTTAAATTTAGTAGTGAGGTTTCTGTTCCTAGTAAAGATCTGGTGTCTGAAGAGAGCAGCCCGGTATGCGAGGTTAAGGACATAGCGGTGGTACATAAGTAACAAAGTGTACGGTGGTCGCAAGGATGCGTTGTAGAACCTCCCAAGAGAGTCACACAGATTCAAATTATTTTTGTGTCCTAAACTCAAACAGTGGCATCCCTGCTAGGTCTATGGACAGGAAAAGTGTAACCCAGTCAGAATAAGGTAACTCTATCCTCTCGCGAGTTTAGCCAGGCTACTGGGTGCTGCTTTTGTGATGCCATCCAGCCATGTGTTGCCTCACACAGGCGCACACAACAGTTCAGGAACCCTGGCTAATGGTAACTTAGCGAGTTCTAGTATGTTTAAATTAGGTTTAGGTTATACACCAGTCTAACAGTAAATAAACCCGCCAGGTTATTAGTGGGTTTCCCTGTGGGGTGCTGAGAATAAAGTTTTAGGATCTCAGGAATTGCCAGATTGGATCAGACTCAAGGTCCATTTAGCTCAGCTAATTCAGAGGAAGGTTCAAGAACCCGGCAGAAGGCAGATCTGGGGCCATCTGCTCCCCTCCCCATTAGGTCTCACCCTGATTTGCAACAGGGATTGGCTTAGGTCCCGATGCATTAGGTTTAATATGCCTTTCACAAAATTTGTTTCAATTAATTATGATGATAACTCTGGAACTTCCTGTTATTCAGATGAAGGTCCAATTCCATTTTGTTAAGCTCCTGGCCTCACCGACTTCCTGTGGCAATGAGTTCCAGAGTCTAATTGTTCTTTTCATCAGAAGGTCTCAACGCACTTCACAAAAGGAGGATCACGATCATTGTTCCCATTTCACAGATGGGGAAACTGAGGCACAACAAGGGGACGTGACTTGCCGAAGGTCACCCAGCAGGCCAGTGACGAGCTGGGAAGAGAACCCACATCTTTCCAGTTCAGTGCTCTAGCCACTAGGCCATATAATATATCTAGCACTTCGCATGGTCATGTAAGACTGGAAGCAGTCAACAGGCCCTTCATATCTAGGATGGTTTGAGGACAAAGCTGTCACCTCCACATTACATCATCTTTGATGTCACAAACATCCAGAGACTTAACAGACTACTGAATAGCCCGCAAGTGAGTCCATGCAAATTGTCACAAACCAGACCTCAAGTGAAGGAATAACTAGGAGAGAAACATTGCTAGCTTAGCTTGAAATAAAGGGACAGAAATCCCCCAGCAGCCTGGGACAACACGGAAAAGCATTGGCCTTTAGAAACCGGGCCCCAGAATAAAGGGTGATAGGTGGGTCAAACACAGATGAAAAACAATAGGTGTTAATGATTTGGGGGGGGGGCATAAGTGTCAGAAAAATAATTTGAACACAGACAACTTTCAAGGGAGGGAAATGAGAACAATGGGGGGGGGGGGAAGCGGGAAATGACAGAAAAGAACCAGGCCAATCGGCCAGGAGACCAGGCACTAATTTCAAGGCCATTTGAGGATTTTAGAGCCCCAAGGAGAGTTGTGCTTTAGACAAAAAGCTGCTCTAACCCTTAACTCCTGATAGTGGAACTGGTTGTGCACTGGCTGGAGAAAGCCCTGCAAGCAGACAGCTGGTCAGGGGGCATTTGGATACAGCCACAGGTTGGCTGTTTTGTCTTAAACACCTGCGCTGGAACTCCCCAGGGGAAGTTCTGGGCTATCCAGGGGGCCGGGCCGGGCCAGGCCAGGCCAGGGGCTCCCAATGGTCCCCACTGGCCTGGGCCCCTTGAATCTAGTAACTGGAGCCTGTGGGTGAACCGAGAAGAGGTGAAGAAAGTGGCCTGAGCAAGCGGGCGGCAGGTGCCCAAGCCCAGGCAGGGCCCCACCCGCCCTGCGGGGTCCTGGTCTCTCCAGCCGCTTGGGCGTTCAGCACTTACCCATGTTGACAAAGCTCATGACCGTGTCCGCCCGGCTGATGACTCTTCCCAAAGGAGGCGTCTGGATACTCAAGCTGGTCAGCACGGGCCGGGAGACCCCCCGGCCCCAGCCCACCTGATCTTCCTCTTCGTCCTCCTCCTCCCTGGCCATGGCGTGGTACAGGTCCAGCATGAAGAGGGGAGCGGAGGAGGGCAGCTTGCCCCCGGCGGAGGCCTTGGGTCGGGGTCTGCCCGGCAGCCCGAGGATGGACAGGATCTCCCGCTGCATCTCCCGCTTCTCCCGGCCGCTTAGCCGGCGGTGCAGGAAGCTGGAGGCATGGAGATGGCTCCGGAGGAAGCTGCTGTTCCCCAGGTCACACAAGAGCCCCAAGAGCCAGAGCAGAGCCCCGCAGAGCAGCCGCATCGCCTCTGCCGGCCGGGCCCGTGCGCTCCGCTCCCGGGGGCGCACGGGCTGCGCTGCGCCGCGTTGCGCCGGCCTCACCAGCCGCCCATTGGCCGGCGCGCGTGGGAACGGGCAGCGGCCAGACAAGCGCCAGGTGCGGGGCCTTGCGGGCGCCTCTTCTCCGAAGGCGGAAGCTGGAAATCGGAGCCCAAGCGCAGCAGCTCCTGGCTCAGGCTCTCCCCGCCGGGCCCGGGACGCAGAGCTGCCCCGGAGTCATTCAGCCAGCCCGGGGGACCCCCCCGGCCAGCGAGGCGTCTATAGCAGGCGCGCACCGCTCTGCCCTGGGCCTTTACGCGCAGAGCTGTTGCTGGGTGGGCGCTTTAACCATCGCCAGGACCCGGCGCACGTGTCTGTACAGCCAAACCCGCACCCTCACCCGGCCCCCCCTCAGGCTAAAGGGGCCGCTGGCCGGGCGGCCCTGCGGCTGAGCGCAAGTGGCGGCGAGCTGGGGTAGCTCAGGGCGCAGCGCTGCGCGTCGGCGCAGCGCTCCAAACACCTGGGTAGGAGCGAGCCAGCCGCACTGGAAAAACCGAGCTAGATGGCGCCCCGCAGCGCTCCCTCCCAGCCCACCACCCCCGGGCTCCACTGGGGCTTTGCCCTCCTCCTGCCTCCCCGGTGTTAGCTCTTGCGCTCGCCGCGCAGCCGTGGGGGATTTTCATCCCCCTCCCCCTCGAGAAGGGGCGCAGAGAGCGGGCTGCCCAGAGGCCCGCGGTTCTGCGGGCGCAGCCGGGGCTGAGCTGGGCCCCGCAGAGAGACGAGCGAGGGGTTGGCCCTGGCACCAAGCTTTCGGCCACGGAAATCGGGGCTTCCAGCTAAAAGCTGGGGCATCTGGAGCCAGTGCGCGGTGATGCGGCTTTCCCTGCGGCACAGGCCGGGCAAGGACTAAAAAAAGCCCCTTTTGGCCCCAGAATGGCTCGGCTCTGCCACCCCTCCACACCCGCTCTGCTGCCTGGATGGCAATAAGCCCCACCCCGCGAGTGGGAACTTTCCTGGGCTGGTAGGTCCGGTTTGAAGGTGGGATGGGTTGGTTGGTATCCACTGCCCTCTCCTGGCTCTGCTCTTAACTCTGACACTTCGCCCTAGTGACTGGAACTTCGTGTTAACACGGGGGTTAGAAACCGTTCCCAGGTGCGGATTCTTATCCAGCGGGTAGTACTGAGCTGACAAACGTGAATGTGTATTAGATCTTCATAGCAACATGCTATTCAAAATGAAAGGCTTAGTGGGTCTGGACAATCTGCAGAGCATAGAATTAGAGTCAAGTATCAGGGGGTAGCCGTGTTAGTCTGTATCTACAAAAACACAAGGAGTCTGGTGGCACCTTAAAGACTAACATCTGTTAATCTTTAAGGTGCCACCAGACTCC